AAGATGCAGCCTTCCTTTTATCTCCACTTAGCTTTGTATTTCTCTGATCCAGTGTTACAGTGAAACTTTTTCTCCTGTGCGATGCTTCAACAGCAATTGTAATGAAGACGAGGCAGGTACTGGGATTTGCTAACTCCTGTTTCCTATTTTTGGCTGCTGTAGGCACAGTCCCCCATGGATTCTACTCAGTGGCCATCTTAGCTGGAAATGATGCTAGTTAGACATTGCAAGAGTTCCTGACCTATATAGATCTAGTGGTCTCAGGAGAAATTATTTATAATGTGTAAAAAATGAGTCCATCCTTCTGTTAGATAGAGAGGAATGAGCAACTGCAAGGAAAAGCATAAGGATTGACAGGCAAGAAAGAGAAAATGTAAGTGAGAGATCAAAAGAAAGAGTAAGAGAAGAAAAGAAGAAGAAGAAAAGAATTAGAGCAAGAAAGATGAGTGAGTGACAAGCAATATATTAAGAGAAAGTCAATGGATTGGATCAATGGATTAGTGATGGAGTGGGATGGATTTCCTCATAAACTAAAATAGGTGAGTATCTTCTACTATACCAGGAAGTCCCAAACCACCTTGTAGATCAACTGCCAAGCATGATCTATGGACTGGGACTTCCCAATAAACCAGGAGAGGCAGAAAACCCCCTACAACCAGGTGGCAAAACTTGTCAAAACTCATCCAACCCACTTCACATTACAGAGGACAACTAATGAATGTTTTTGCAACCAGCAGGAAGTACATCAATTGCTAAACCTCAATTTGCTCAAAGTAGTACCACTCTGAGACATAATAGAGACCACATATACAGGCAAGGCAAATTATGCTGGCGTACTTTTATGCTGTATTAAAGATTGTAGGCAGGCATTTTAAACCAGTGCTTTGGATAACTTCCAAATGAAGGCATGACTACTATGGAAAGAAATTATAGAAATCTTGGAGTATTTATGTCCAATACTACTATTTCCAAGCACATTGTTAATCAAGTATCAGATTAAAATACACCTGATGACTGATCTCATCTTAGTATACATATACATCTCATTTTAAAGATGAATTTCAGTTTTTCAGCCAGATAACTTTACATTGCAGATTATCCAAAGATTATTATTTTTGTCAATAATATGCATTAGAGATAATACTCAGGTACTAATGCAACCATGATAGTTCCTTTTTGCAAGTCAGCCCCTCAGATCATCACCTGAGCAGCCATCCCCAATTTTAGAATACAGGTGCAGAAATAGTCATTGTCACAGTTTGTCTAAATAGTCAGGTAGACAGGATGGATGTAATGAAATTAAGAAATCCTGGAAATAATATAGGTTGCTAGGTATAATAGGGACTCCAATGTAGCTCTTTCTGAAATGCTGCATTTTCCTTACCAACTGCTCTTCAGGCATAAACATGGAATTCAAAAAGAGTTTTAGAGCCAAACCAATTTCTGAATCAGTGGAGCCTTACCTAGAGGCTGAATTAAATATTTTCTGTCTTCCCCTGATTTTCAAGATGGCATAAACTCTTTCCCACTGCCTACTCAATCCTGAGCCTTAGGGGATTGATCAAGATTGGGATGAATTGCTTGTCCAGAATGATGATTGTGTCAGAATGTTGTAGCTGACACTGCAGCTGCCACTCACCTGAACTTCTCAGAAGGAAATAATTCTTTTTCTTCTGACTTTTGCAATGGGGTTGGATGGGAGGGTAATGTTCCAGGAAGGAAGGAAGGGAGGGAGGGAGGGAGGGAGGGAGGGAGGGAGGAAGGAAGGGAGGAAGGAAGGAGAGGGAGGGAGGAAGAAAGGAAGGAAGGAAGCAAGCAAGGAAGGAAGGAAGGAAGGAAGGAAGGAAACTCTGGCTCTTACAGTGACACAAGGATATTTTCAATCTTGATAAAAATTTTAAAAGTTATCGAAGTGGGGCAGGTGTTCAGTCCTCTGCAAAGAAAAAGTTGGAGAAAAACAAAGGGAAATCTTCTAACTTTATTACATAAAGGTGCCTGAAAGTAGAGATTTTGCTGGAAGTCACATGTTGCAACCTTTACTTTCCTTCTAATAAATATTATTAATTAGAATCCTTGGATTCTTCTTCCATAGATTAACTGTTTCCAGTCCAATTACAAAGACAATAGTCTGTTATATGCAAGTAAGGACTACAGCAACCCTACTTTGTCTTTTTTCACTATAGTCTATTTTTTTTATTTATCAAGTTTAGATACCATCCATCTCATTTCCATAATAAAAAGGTTTTCATGTTCTAGTAATTGTTCCCAGAGTATGCACTAGACTTTTTTGCCAGGAAGTCTAATTTCTATAAAGTACAGTAGCTGGCAGCATTGCTCTTGGGCATTCCTCTTCTCTCTTTTCTACGTATTTTACTATTCTTAAAGGCAGGTGAACTCAAAATTATATTAAACCTTTAACATGTAATCTTCTAAACAAAAAATGGAAGCTTTTCCGTTTTACCTATCATTTGGACACAGTTTGTCCTAACAAATTGTACACTATCTTCACATGTATATTAATTTAGCCAACTTCTAGAATCAGTGATCCATGGACTGACTCACCAATGAACATCGTTCATATCACTGAGACTTTAGATACGTGACATCCAGAAGCCAGAAATGAATTGTATCTAATAACGTGGGAAAGTCTGTGAGAATTAAACCTTTCCCTAGAAATCCAACGGAAACTTGATTCGAACCTTCAACATTCACAGGACAAGTTTGGGAAGAGCTGGGATTTTAGACTTCTTTAATAGGCTTACATTAAATGTATTTTAGTGGCAATTATATATCTCTGGAATGTTCTTCTCATTGATTCTGTAGCTGCAACTCCTTAGTCATTTCCATTTCAGCACATAAGTCTTTCTCTGTCTTTGATGATCAGTAGGAGACTCAAAAGCCCAAAAATTCAGAATAGGTATCTGTGCTCTTTATTCTGTCAGTTTCTACTTTGCCACAGTGACAAGCAGAAGCAATAAGCAAAAAAGATTAGGCAAAACTGTAAATGCAAATAAGTTCAGTGAGAAGGCAAAACAAAAAACCCTCTGGTTTCAGCACCTGAGTGCTCAAGGACCTTTTTCAAAACTTTGACAGGTCCTGTGTACAGTACCCCCTTCTGATTGGTACATTGCCAATTAGCTGACCTTAATTGGTGACTATTCAACTCTCCCTAGCTTAACTATAATTTTTCAGGGCAACTGCCTAGTCAATCTTGGTAAAGTTGTTTAGGGCACCGCTTCAACTTGTCCTTGCTGATAGAAGTATCAGGGCTTCTCCTGATCTCTGTCATTTCTGAATCTTCTGTCAGGGATCTGATAAGCAGCTTGTATCATCTGGCTTCATAAACTTCATATCTATCAAGACCTTCTCCCTCACTTAACAAGTTTTATAACAACATCTGATAAGATTGATGCATCTGCTAAAGTCTGAAGCAAGAATTGTGTCAGGTTGTCAAGCAGGAGAATGTACTTTAGAAAGAGATCCACTGCTATTTTTTCATAGGGACTAAAAATTCCTTCTCCAGATGCTTCTTTCTTTTCAAGGTTGGTCTCAACCTTCCTCTTAAATCAAGACGTTATCATTGCTCATATTTTCCCCAGCCCTTCAACGCTGTTGGAAATATTGTTACATTGTCTAAATGCTGTTGCTATACTCAGACTGTGCAATATCATTTAATTGGACTGATATTTATTTCTGGCCTGACAGAGTCCATCTAAAGGGTGTGGTCTTTTCTCCAAATGTTTATCCCCATGGATAGTGACAAGCTTTGCTATGAGCTGACCAAACAGTTGTGCTTCTTCTGATGCACAAAAGTATTGGCAATACCAGCAACACCAAATACACCTTGCTGGAGCTATGTTGATTGGCCCCAAAGACTGAGCACTCTGTCTTTATCCAGCACTATAGACTGGATCTACATTCCTAAAGAAATTCATCCTTTAGAGAGAGAGGGCAGCTCTTCTGAGTCACCATATGAAGCTCTCAGTTCAATTGTATGTGCAAATCATACAGACCATAATAAAGAAGAGCTGGATACTTTTCTATAGTTGCAGTTCTTTGAGTCATCATCTCTAAATTCATTCAACCCCCGTTCACCGTGCCTTCAGATCTGCTTTATTGGTGCAGAACTGAGGGGGTTTGACAGAAGCTGAGACGGTTTTTGTAGTATGGATGGAGAACATGACTTCTCATGTAGAAAGTAAAATGGAAAACAGCCATTATGAGAGAAGGAAGATCCATTATCAAGGCAACCCAAAGGCATATATTGCTTAAGTCTAAAGGATGGGAGAGGATTACTAAAATATCACAGGCTTTCATATAAAAGAGGGAGGATGGGAAGTATGAGATATAGTTGCAACATTATGTCACTATAGCCAATCTAAATAAAAATAATTTTTAGTCTTCCATGGAGTCTCTTTCTTGGTCTGGCCTACTTCATAAGGATGACTGCTCTCATCAAACAGTTCTGTACATTCTAAAAGATTTTTGAATTTGAATTTATATGTGTAAACAACTTAAGTGATGGGTCGTGGTCAATTCTTCTCTGCATTGAAAACACATAATAGTCCGTGTTTTTTGGTGGGCAACCAATCTGTAGAATATTGGACAAAAATCTTTAAGATCCCACTGAATATTTTTCATTAAAGAAATAATAAAACTAGGTCATTGTATGTGCTAAACATACAACACAAGTGATCTATCTTGGCCTCTCATATTCTGTAGCTATAACATATATTTCTGCCTTCAAATCTGTCTTGTTGTTCTGTGTTGTTCAGTTTCCCATAATGCACATTCCTTAAAATTGGGACAATTTCTGTGCTTGTAATGTCCACAATAACTTTAAGGTGCTAGTTCTGAGATAAATAATCAGAATTTATGGAAAATGCATATAGATGAAAAGTCAGTGAAAAGCATACTGACTAGATGCTATACAAGAATAGTTATATTTTACCCCGGCTAATAAACTGAAATTAATTTGTAAACATTTTTATCCACTGAAGGTGATACATATGGGGTGGGTGAATGAGAGACTCCAGGGAGAAGATTCCCCCCAACTGTATACATTCAAGTTCCTGGCACTGAAGGGTTCATCATTCTATATTTTCAGCACCCCACCGGTAAGCAGCTATTTTTTTTTAAGTGTGACAGTTATTTTTGTCAGCTAAAAGGTTCCCCTTCATTTTCCATTGGATAATGAAGCAAACTGTAATTTAGTAAAGAATGTTCACAGTAACTCTTTCAGACACCTTTAATCCTTCCCTCTCATGCATAAAACATTGAGATCAATGAGGGCTGGATGATTTCATAGGACATTTCTTTATTTTGCTGCTCAGTTTGGAGCCCCGATGGCTTCAGACCTAAAGAGTCACCAAAAATTCCATTATACTGGAATTTGAGGCAGATATGCCAGCTTCAAATTTAAAAGATATTTTTAATAAGCAGGTTTTCTTAGCTTTTCCCCATAACTACATTGCATCTTGACAAATTCTCAAAAATACTGTTAGAAAATAGTGTTGCATGTAAATCTTACATAGATTTAAGGGACAGAACTCAACTATCAGCTATGGAACCATTTAAACAACAAGGTTCATGAAAGCTGTGGTATACGTTTTTTAAAAAAAGGCTTAACATAATTTCCTAACGAAAAGCATACTCATGAGTCCCATCTGACCCCTCCATCACTGATCCATCCACATCTTTACTCACTATGTATCTTTGCCTGCCCACTGTCCCTTGCCCCTCGCCCCCAAAATACCAAGTCCTAATGACAGTGAAAGGTTGTTAGCCCTGTTTAAAAGAAAGAAAAGACAAGCTAAAATGGTGAGTAAAAATATGCTGAGCTGAAATAGTTCTAGTTCATTATATTTTATTTTTTAACTTAGTAAATGTACAGGGAAATATTAGACAGAAACATTTGTTACTATGAATGTTAGGGTAACCGTTATTTTATAGATGTAATCCAAAGAAGTCAACTCCCACATTTAAGAAAACAAAATTCTCTTTTTGTAAAATAAATAAGCATATCATAAAAGCCACTAAATGATAAAAATAAGTTTATTCTATATTGTTACATATGTATGTATGTATGTATGTATGTATGTATCTTATACATATATAAGAATATCTTCTGTTGCTTTGAATCTGAACATAAACATGCTGTAATAGCTGTATTTGTGGAAGAGTTACAGACACTACAGTTAAAAACATGATATAAATCTAAGGAAAAGCTGGGTAGATATTGAGAAGTAGGTAGATATTTAGCACTTTCACTGCATACCAGAGCTAGAAACTAAAAGAGCAAAATAAAATACAAAGCTGCGTTAACAATCCAAAGAGGTTTCTTTACATATCCAGCCACATGATACAGAGTTTGACTTTGTACAGAGCTAGAAAACACATAAAACCTATAATATCTTTCTGAAAATTTCTAAAAGTATATTGAAAATTATAAGAGCTAGAACCTTATCAATCCATGTCTAGGATAAAAAGGAAAGCAAATAATATGAGAATAGGACTGTGGGAAATTTCATTTTGCTGGCCAAATGTGACAATTTTTTTATTTTTTTTATTGGTTTCTATTATATACAAACAAAACTAGAATCTTAGTTTGTACTCATAATATAGTTAAACATTTTTGAAATGTAGTTGAGCAGGGAAGAAAGCAACGTTTTGGAGGAAAAACACATTTCAGTTTATAAAACAAGGCATATTTTGTAACTAAGGTTAGGGTAATGGTATGTTTTTTATACTCTTAAATAAAAAGCATAAAATAAAATGGGATGTTAAATAAAGTGGGGTGGTGGATTATTCCACAATTTAGAAAAGAGTGTTTCTTATTTAAAAGGCATCTCCTTTCATACCCATTATCCCTAACAATGTGAAAATTGATCAGCAGGTGGCAGCACCTGGCTGTGGTTGCCTGATCTCTGAAGCTAAGCAAGGTCAACCCCACGTAATACTTGGAAGGGAGGCAGTTTGGAAATTCCAAGACTATGAGTTGGATTGGGTAGTTTAAATTTAAAAAAAAAAAAAAACCACCTAGCTGGAAGAAAACAACTGCAGATCACCTTTGCATGGTTGCAAGTAATGCTGCACAATGAATCACCAGGAGTTGAGGTCTGAGTCCATTTTTTATTTACACTGTAAGTAAGTAAGGATATCTTAACCACAAGATAAATGGGTTAGAAGTGCATTTGGCTTATGTTGGAGTGCCATGTATGTTAAATAAGAAAAAAAAAATCCATTGAAATAAATAGGACATCCCTCAAAATGCGTGCGCAGATTTGCAGGTTTCAGCTTTGTTAATGCAACAATAAAATACAAAATATATTTCTAGAATGGTTTTGTTATTAATATACAAGTTTATGTAAATAATTTTAACCAACTAAATACTGTAATCAAGTCATTATTCAAAATGCAAAAGTAACCAAACTATTTAAAGGACAAGGTAAGCAATAGATGTAAGAAAAGCAACAAATACAGTAACACAACAGACATTTTCTTCTGGTGCCTATAATTCATTTAGCTGTTAAGCAGAGGCACTAAGAATGTAAACAGTTTTTGCCATTGATCTTGCTGGGGATGGATTGGAGCTTTTCCATCCTGTCCTACGGCAGAATGAACATTAACAGGAACAGTCACCTAGCATACATCTTTTGCCAGGCAAACAAACAAAACACTAAATTCAGTTTTGAAAATATGTGAGCTTACTAAAACTCTTAACCACTATTAATACTGTAGCATATTTTATGAAAATAAATTTTATTCAGAATGTACTCAAGTATTTCAGGCAAAAAATGAAAAAATCCATATTTTAATATCCCCCTTCCACAACCAAGTACCTGCAAGGAAAAAAACAAACTGTGATTCAGAGAGTACAGTGTAGATAATAATTTTACTCAAATGCTAGGAACTAAAAAGAATGTAGAGATAGCTAGGTATTCTTTTTTAACAAATGAAATTTCCTGTTATGGGTTTCGATCCAGGAGAATGTTTCTATAACCTCATTAGGAAGACTTAGCCAGTGCATTTTTTTATACATACATTTTCACAATTTGTCTTCACCAAACACTTGCTATGTTTTGCAGACATTAGATAAAATCTTCTGATATATTGCTAACTAATTAAAAGGTAGGACAATGTGCTATTGAAGGCATTATAATTACAGTTATCCTGCAGAGTCTTCAAATCGTGTGTGTGTGAGAGAGAGAGGAGGGCGGGCTTAAGAAGGAGACCTGAATTATGAGCTTTGATAATCTATTTGGCAGGATTAAAGCATAAAGAGAAAAAGTAGAAGCTCTTACAGATTTTAGTCTAAGGCTTCAGTTCAGTGAAGAGAACAACTGCTTTTCTATATACAGTATTGATCATAACTCAGCAGTCTTTCTTTTTAGCTACAACTTCATATCACAGCAGTCACATACAAATCAGCATTTAGGCTGTTAAGTCCCTGTCCTTTTGTGCTGTATACCTGTGACTGAGGAAGCTTTTCTCATGTGGTGACTCAATATTTAATATAGTCCCTAAAAAAATAAATTTACTCTGGTATTTCATTTTTAGCGTGTAACCAGGATAGGTACAGCAGCAATAGAAAGATTTTGACCTCTTGAGCACAATTACACACTATATTGCTTTCTGAATTCATGGTTCATAGTTCTTTCTCCATTGTTAGCAATCTGTAGAGATTGCCAATATTTGAAGCCCAACACTGAAAGCTGACAGAACAAATCTTGACTGGAATTTTTCATTGCTTTAAAAATATTTATTCATTTTGCAGTAATCTTCCCTTAGTAATGCCATTATAGTAGATTGTATCAGAATAATTAGTGAATTATAATCACTGTTTTAAATCAAAAGAAAAAAATGATTAAAATAAGCAATTTAATTCTACACTTTATCAAATTGAATATTTACATTGCATTTATATCATTCAAATACATGTTTCTTCTGTTTACTGAGCAAACATTAACAGGAATTGGTAATAGAATTCCTAAAGCATTTGTTTTATGATCAGAAATACATAACCTGCTACTAACTAATAAGGCTGTTGTGCTGCAATAATTGAAAACATACTTTATAATAAAATATATACAAACACACATCTGCAACTATTGAACAAAAGAAGTAATAGGCAATATTACGGCTATAACTTTAGTGGTGTATCCACACTTCTGAAGGCAATCTGTTCCACCGGTTAATTGTTCTAACTGTCAGGAAATTTCTCCTTAGTTCTAGGTTGGTTCTCTCATTGATTAGTTTCCATCCATTGCATCTAGTCCTGCCTTCAGATGCTTTGTAGAATAGACCCCTCTTCGTTGTGGCAGCCCCTCAAATATTGGAAGACTGCTATCATGTGACCCAATTCTTGCAACTGTTCTTCATATGTTTTAGCTTCCAGTTCCCTAATCACCTTTTTTGCTCATCTCTTCACTCTTTCTAAAGTTTCAACATCTTTTTTTTTTTTTTTAATCATGACAACCAGAACTGGCTGCACTATTCCAAGCGCAGTCTTACCAAAACATTATAAAGTGGTGTTAACACTTTATCTGATCTTGATTTTGTCCCTCTATTAATGCAACCTAAAACTGTGTTGACTTTTTTGGCAGCTGCAGCAAGCACACTGCTGGATTCACTTCTGATTGTAGGGAATTCTGAGAAATGGAAAGCGGGCAGAGGAGAAAGAGTTGAGTTGGGCTAGGTGGGCAGCCTTCACATAAAGTTTCCCATGTTGCATCCTCCAAATGATTTTTGTGCTCTCAAATATCAAAGGATGAAAAAACTCTTCTCAAATATAGATCTTTTTAAGACTGAGTTATATTTTTTAAAAGAATTATTTTTGTGGAATGGTTTGATATCTCTACTCAATATCAAAGGGGCTCTTCTTACCAAGATCAGTCTGTTCAAGAATTCAAATTACAGGAACAAAGCAGAAACTCAGCCTTGACAGGCTTGATGGGCTAAACCAGTCAGTCTATTATTTAAGAACTGCATAAATATTTCACTAAAACAGTCAACATAAAAGAAAGACTTTGATCATAATGGAACCTTTCAAACAAAACTGATGTATCAGAAAGGTTTAATCAATTTTCTTGGGTTACAGTCTTAGTTAGTCCCTTAT